ACGAAGCCGGTACTCTACATATATATATATATATATATATAAGCACTTTATGCATGTCACAGCTTGGTACGCTTCCGAAAACATTTCCAGAAGGATTCTATTTCCTTAGCTTGTCTGAACAAAAAAAAAAAACTTAAAAACGGAAAGGTTTTTTTATGTTATACTACTGCGCTTAGCCGACTTTTTGACATATGTTTTCTACGGATACGGCAGCTAAAAATCATCGACGTTTCTATTTGTCATGTATTTGGAAGAAAGCAGCGCTGATATCTTGGAATTTAGGCTTCTAGATTGCACTACATTTTACTGACATGTTGACCTGATGAGTTATTCTTACCTACCCTAGTATTTTACCGATATGAACGCGGTATAGACCTACCAAAAATATACCAAAAAATAGAACATACGGCTTTGATACAAGACTATCGAACATGGTTTTAAGGGCCGTGCTGGCCATATGGACATATCCTACTTAGTTACATTCCATGGATATCCCTGTAATTACGCAGTGGGTGAAACGTTTGCCTGCTAGATCTAAAAACACGAAGGTGCTTGATGCTAAAGTAATTTCTAAACACATATGTATACTAAATGTTGAACACGAAAAACAAACCTTCAGGGATGGAGGGTGGAAGATGGGCTGTTTCGTTAGCCTCAGTAGCGTAATGTGGTTTATCACATTTAAAACTGATCTTAAATTTATGCTTGCGAGTTCGGCTTTTACCTTGTTCGGTGTTATTTGTCTCAGGTGTCCCTTCGATACGACACGTTCGTGAAGAGCTTGAAAAAAAAGCAGCTAATATGATGGTTTCACGCTGGTGGAATCGTTTATTTAGTATAAAAACATACAATTCTCAAGTTCATCATAGAGTTATGTTATAATTACCTTTTTTTTTTTTTGTTTTTATATGATACGTTTTTGTCGAAACTGATAATTGACTACTAAAGGTTACTTGTGTAATTAGGTGTTTTCTACGAGTCGCCTGTAGGTGTTACGGCGCGATTTTCTAGAAGGCCTTTATTTGTGTGCCTGTACTGATAAAATGTAAAATGATAATAAGCTAGCACTTTCCTCATAACTATAAAAATAATGTTGCGACAATGCGGCCTCGTACGTTTTTCTCTTCTACCGATAGATGGAGCCGATGGTAATAATATGATGCAGCCCTGATTGTGCGGAGACAAGCCTAGCAGTCCTCCAGCACTTCTGTGAAACATGTATCGAGTCATTCTTTCGAATCAGTCTCATAAGAGATAACGACATTTGTCTATTCTGTTCTACGATTTATGAGCATTTAGTCAAAAGTAACTCACGTGTCACAGTACATATAGCACAACGAACTTGTCTATAAAAGAAACACTCGTATGCACTTATAAATGCAAAACAGGTACGGATCAGAAAGCGGGCGTACGTCCCACGTACCACAAACAGTAATTGCGTCACTTAGTTCACTGAACAAATCAATCTCTATATATATATAAAGAAGAATCATTTAAACAAATGATTTCACATAGTGTCTAATATTTCAACACGTATTCTTTAATATCGGCAAAGTAGTGTCTACTTACATGATATTTAGCAGTAAATTTCTCATGCCGATTGCGCCGGCTGCTCATTCAAGGTTCAATATAATACGTAGTGTTTTTCAAAGCAATTCTAAACGCTGAACCTGACTGAAGATTCCTCGGCAATAACAGAATAAATTGCTTTTTGAAGATATATACAGGTATTGCATAAAATGTTCATGGCTTTCGTCACTACTAGACCAAGAGCACTGGAAAACGCTGAGAGCCGATCATTCCGTGACAACTTTGCTTCCCGTGTCGGAATGAAGAGCATCATTCTGTTGACGCGATATTGACTCCACGAAATTTTCCTATCAGACGTTATCTTGACATTTGTGCTTTTGCTTTCGACAAGTGTTCTTCTGTTCAGTCCGGTTTAAAAACATCCGTCAGACAATAGGAGTATAAAGGCTCTCACGTACCTTTGAGAGACAAGAATGGTAATTTATGTCCTATGGTGTGTGCCGTACGTAAAAGTCCTAAAGGCAACGAATCAATATTTAACATTGGGAAGAGCACAAGCTGCGTATAGGTAATCTAGACCGCAAATCGATTGAGTTTTTGTTGAATAGGACACTTCCAATTTCATTTCAAAATAATCTATGTACCAGCCGAGCGTATACGAGTTGTTGGTGACGATTCTATCAATTATATTTCTGGAAGGCAAAAGGAAATTAATCAGTTTCCTTTACCTTCGCACGAAACATATGTAATTAAATAGCTGAAGTAGAATTAATGGTCCTGTTCTAAAAGTTCACTCTGCAAACGATGCCTCGATGAAACAGGATCATAGCAGCTTTCATCACAGAGCTTACTCTTTGGGTTTGGTGATGACTCATACATGGCCACAAGTGGTTTCACCCTAAAAAAACGCGTGTTGATCAAACACAAACAGGAGCTGCTTTCCGCACACAGTTTATATAACAGGATTTACGTCGTATATCTTTGTTTAGTCAGGCACGTAGTAAAATCACTCGTCTGTTGGTGCTATACATTAGACTACTGGTTCTTTTATCGCGGAACTGCAATGAAGAGCAAATTCGTTTAGGATTTGCCGGCTGTTTTACCTCTACCAAAATTCAGTTCGACCCTTTAAAATGTTAACCAACGCGGACCAGGCGCTGTTTAGCATATTCCGTTGTCGGATGGTAAGAGTACAAGTTTTGGGTGAGTCGAGTCATATTCATTTCGTTGGTGGCAAAATCGCACGAGCTAAATATAAACCCCTAATCTGTTCGTATAAATCATGCCAGTATTATTTTTCCGTCCGCCTTCGTCTATCAGCTGTTCCTCTGCAGTGAAAAAATATTACCTTTTTGTTTCTTCTTTCCCATCTAAAAGTAACAGCAATGCCGAACTCTTTCGTTCGTTCACAGTACAGCTGGTCGACTTTCTTTTTTCCTTTATTTAATTACGATGCATCTCCTCGAAACGGACCTTTTGCTAGTACTAATACTTTCGTAATTCACGGCCGTTTGCATCCAGGACGAGAGGAACAAAGGCCGTAATGAACATGGGATGCGATCGTATACAGATGCATCGATCGAAAAAACTGTATTCTTCGGAGGCAGCCCTGTCGCCTATCTACACTGTCGTGTTACATGTAGCTTAACTATATCATTGTTCGTTGGCCGTGGCAACAGTTGCAGCGACCACCGCCATTAGTAGGTCGTTAGGGGTCACGCTTTGGCTCTTGACAAAGGCGCAGCGTTTCAAGCTGAGAATGTCTACTCATCTTATACGATACGGGGTGTTAAAAATTCTGTTTTCATGCCGATGCTCCGTCTTTTTCGTATCCCGCTCCTACAGTTACTATCTTCTAAGTTCCTTAACGTATCAGCATACCACGAATGACAACGGTGTCTCCTGTGCCTGACCACTTGAACGTGTTAATAAAAACAGAAATAATCCGTCAAACATGCACAACCAGGGGTTTGCCAAAGGTGACTAAATGCTGGACCTATGCTACTAGTAGTTTAGTAAGTTAATTTACAAGCTTATTGACTTACAATAAGTACAACGTGGACGGTGCAGTTGTTTTGAAGGAACGCTGACGGCAGCTGTTAATTTAACGTCAATCTTGATCTATCTCAACGTGAATTTCTTCAGGTTGTCCACAGCGTTGGACTATACACTGCCTTCTGGTTCAGTCGAAGCCCTAGAGTACATTTGAAGCTGACTTTATATATTTATGCATAGAGAAGTGGCTATTTCAATTAAAAAGCGCATGCCATGGTGTATGTTTAGTTGCAAGAAAAAATCTCTGAATTGAAAATGCCTGACCTCGATATATATATATATATAGAAAAGTCTATAGACTTTTCGAATTCTGGAAGTAAAAACTTACTTCCAGAATTATTCTTAAACAAACAGTACGTTTGTTCATTAATGCATCTGTTCTGATTTCGGTTTTGAACTGTAATAGCATTATAAAATACACAGTTTTCCCACAGGTTTATGGGACTCTCACACGATATCTTTTTAGGTGAAATTCATGATCGGACTAATGCATTTATTTCGTGACCTACTTTCATAAAGGTTTTTACGTCCTCAGCATGCATAGAAAAGCATATAACCATTTACAAGCAAAATTACAAGGAAAATCAACGAGCTTGACTTTGCATCAAAAACAGCTCCCGCCGAATAAACTAGTGGGCCAACCGATGTAGATCGTTGCACAAAAATGATCAAAAGGTAGCTTCTTTCCACATCGTTTTGTGCGTTAGTTTGTAATCAAGCAGATGATGGGTTATCGTTTATTACACTAGTTTTGATGCTTCGAGTTATCGATGTCCCATCTGTTACACAATTACTAACAAGAACTCGATTTGCCCCGCGAAATGTATATGCGAAGCCCGAACTGACTTTCTACCTTAACGTATCGACCCGTAAGCAGTAATATTTGTACAATACCAAGTATAAATGCCCCCTATAAACTTTGGAAAAAAATACTTCGCAACAATGCAAAAAAAAGGCTATGTCTGAGTGTGTGGGACATTGATTTAATAAACCCATCTTTGTTCTGGACTTGTTTGAATCCCTTTCCTTTATGGTACGTGTACGGCAAACAGTCGCTTAGGATATGCAATGATTTATATTGCAAGCACTTGTATCGAAAGTGTTTATCTCCATTAAATCTCGGCGGCTCAGTCTGCCGTCGTGTTCGAGACGGCGCACGACAATACAGTTAAGCAAAACAGTTCAGACAATGCTGTGTGTGTGTGACAGAGTTAGGCCTCCAGCATTTGAGAATAGCGTTGTCTGTAACAGAAAAGTTATTTTCGAACCAGAATTCGAAGGTGGCCGATTTCGTATGTCGGATGCGTACAGAAAGCATGATTAGCTATTCTAAATATTCTAGAGTGGACCTAATTGACTACATATTGCTAGCTACAGTGTACGCAGTTGTCATTTTTGCTGTGTTCGATTTACAGAGTATCGTGTCGATGTCTTGTGCTCTCCTAAAGTCGTTGGGCTCCGTGCTTCAGTACCTGTTCTTCGGTGAATTGCGTGTTCCCGAAGACAATCAAGGCAAGGACCGTCTATGGAACTATGTTTTCTACAAGTTCATTTTCATCTTTGGCGTCCTCAACGTATCACGGGTAAAAGCTCAGTATATAATATTACGACAGGAAATTACGTTGTTATTGTTCACGGTGAGCAAAAGTCGCGAAGTCCATATACCATGGCCGAGAAGCCAGTACACGTCCTTGTTAACCTACTATTCCAATAATATGAACGTGTGTTTGCTTTACTACTAATGTAGCATTAGAGTATATCTATTGGACTATACATATATTAGAGGCACCCCCGGCTTCTGAGGTTCCGAATAAGCTGAAAAGTTATCAAAGGTAAGAAGAAGATACCGGCAGCTCCGCAGCTATCCAACACCCAATTCAACTACTTTAGTCGCTGCTGTTTAGGCTACCTAAGCTGATTTGGCAGAAACTTAAACTTTGGAAACTACAAAAGATTCTTTGAGTTTGCTACCTCTAGATTATATATACGGTTTCGTAGTAGTCCTAGCTAAGCTAGTTAAGGCTTAGGGTTAAGTTTATCACTCCATATTTCTACCCTAGACCCTATGAGGAACCATATTATCTTGAACTGCCTTCCTGATCGCGTGCGCGCTCTAATGTCCGGACTCATTTCCTGTTTGTCGTTGATATGGATGTTAAAATGAAGTAGCAAAATTACAGGATCTTTCTAAGTCAATAACTAACGAGATGAAGGCTCGAAACATACGTTTAAAGTTTTGTCCGTTCGTTGTTCAGGTCCTATTTCATATCACTACGCGTTACATACTAGTCTGTAGAGTTGCAGCCGGACATTCTACTCGAGCATGATGTATACGCATGTATAGCCCTATCATTGTGTCGCCTACCCATTAATTGGATATATGCTCACTTTAATGATGTTAAGTTAACATTTTGAAGTTAGTATTTTAGATCAGAGGGCGCCATCGTTCGTCACAAGAGTAAGATATACGTTTGTACTATCGCAAGTTGACGAATTCATAGACATTTCGTTTGATAAACCACAACGTTTCAAAACGTATTATTGTCGTTGATTATCGCTAGGTTACGTAGTGAGAGCGGCAGTTTGTCGAATCTTTGGAAGATTCCTTTGTGATTTGTGCTTAGTTGTGCCTTTGTAATGCTAGTTGCCCCAGTCATGTTTATATTTTCTATAGATAATGTTTATGCCACAAACTGCTTTCATTATGTCGCGCCCTACTAGGAAAACGGCTAAGACAAAAGTTGACGATGACAATTAATTTTAGTAGATTCAATAACACACTGAGGGGGCACTAAAACATGGTTATCTTGTCTCACATGTTAAACAAAGCATAGTTACTGATAACGTTTTTATAGAAGTTTTGGCGGTTTTCCCTGCGCAGACACTCCATGCCCCACTATTACACAATCAGAAAAGAGGTTCGCCGGTCTTTCGACAACACGGTCCGTTTTAAGCCTCTGCCCCCTAAGCAGCTCGTAGTAATAATATTAGGTACAGTTACAGGGGCTGATGTACGAACACGGATCAGAGAACTACGAACTGTAATTTCGGCATATGAACTTCTTTACTTAAACTGCGCTGCAGTAACCGTTGAATATGCTGTGCACTGAACTTCTGTTCTATTACTAAAACTATGGTTAGCTCGTGACACAACGGTATAACTCTGTATGCGAGACGGCGTTAGCGTCTGTACAGGAAACTTCAATCGAATCCTGAAATAATGTCACGATAACGGTACGAAACCGTTGAGCGGATATCCGATCGAGCGCTACTTATTATTGTCGGATTGATTTTTTCGGATTATGTCATCAAATGTAGGGCAGCTATTTTCGGACCATATTATTGCAAGGATTGAAAAATAGCATATAGTCAATATATGTGTTTAGTTCACATCAACTATCGTGTTCTCGCTAGTGAAAGGAAATTTTAGCATGGCCAAAATCGGCCAACCGTTATCTCTTCTAGCCGAAAAAATCAGCGGATCTGTTATTCCAAACTGCTCTGTGAAATTAGTTCTCACTAACTTACAAAATAATGCAATTAACTTTTGCCAAGTTGACATTGCATCTACTGTTTGCTAAATTTGGACCCATATTTGAAGTGAATCGACGCCCAAGTCTACTTAGCATCAAGCCATTTGAATTCTTCCACATCAAAAGTCCTGCAGAGCTCAAGGTTGCCAACGAAAGATGTTTTGCATGTAGTGGCGTCCAGAAGTACAACTGTCACATGCGAGGGTCCCGAGGGTTCCTTTCTCGGTGGCAGTTATAGCCAACGTTTAAGGCACTAAGGAAGTAGTTCTATATTAGTTTTACCCCTTAAAACTGCGTTTTGCGTATTCGGCCTAAACAAGATATTTAATGAAAAAGTTCCTGGTACTTTTAACTAGCCACTATTAAGTTAGAAGCTTAATAATCCGACGCTCTTCTATTTCTAATTATGACCTTTTCGGTACATAGACAGCGTTAAAACTTCCGCTACTTTATGTTTACTGCGCAGCTACCATCCTGTCGCGTACACGATCATACCCTTGCCGTGTGGTTAACCAGATATATTTGAGTGAAATATTTAGATGAAATATGGGAGCTGGAAGCGGTGCGATTGGTTAACGAATTACGCTTGGCGATGGTACGAGCTAAACTCGGAGGGTATTGGCTTTTAGAAGTGTCCGCAATATACAAGTTATCCTTGTAAAGCCCAGCTACAGATAGACCGGAATTCTGTACATTCTCCCTCCAACATTAGCAAGTATGCTAACAATGCGTTGAAATATAGCAGTTCGATCTTTGGTAAACCGCAACCTAGTAGACCAGATGTCGTAGTTCCGCACCGAACTGTTTAGACCGCTAAATGTATGGATAAGTGCCTGTTTTTCTCTCCCGCTTAGATCGGCCCACTGCGATTATTTTAATTGTACTTTGCAACGTCACACATCATATGTTTGTGAGTCTGTGCCGTTGAAATGCGGTGTTCAAGGGAGTAAAAATGTAGTTAGCTTGAATGGTACTTACTTTAGGAAGGATAGCCTCTCTGATTCGAGCCTCTAAGATTTTTTACGTTGTTATCTCCAAATATGTTACGTGCCATGAAAGATGTCTGGCTTGATGGCGTGATGGCTTGATACCTAAATGTACTGTACGTATGTAAAACTTGCGTTGACAGTTCTGACATCTTTGTCGATATTTTGCAACATGACAAATATCATTAGCCAAGGGGATACATACATCTTTACCGATTGAATTATATCAATGGCTTAATATTGCGGAACTAGTTAACTTGAACTAATTATTACCAGTTATTAATCTGAATGAAATTAAGTGAAAGCAAATCCCCTTCCCATTGAAATCCAAATGCACGTTAACTTTCTGCGCACTAAACGTGACATGTCACTATTTTATAATGGAAGCTGTCGTTAAAATACAATTAACCAGACAGAAACAATCGAGAACAAACAATTCACTTTGCTTTACAAAACTGCTTTTTTTCCTTTTTTTTTTTTTTTTTTATCAAAAATGACAATACTTTCTTAGAAAATTTAGCTTCTCTCATTTGTCTTCGTACTGACCATACGCAAACATCAAAAATATTTATAGTTTTATTTCGCATAATCGGTATAATAACAGCTAGCTATCGTTTGCTTGAGTAGCAACGTCTTTCAAATCTCATGATATCTATTCAACCCTATCCGACTATAAAATAAGCGAAAAACAACTGCGACTTTCTGTCCGAACTCTCCCTTATTACTAAACAAAATGTTCACAACACATTAGCTGGCTATAGTTCTAATATAATAGATATTACTCCATGTTTGTTTGCTGACGTTTTTTATTGCAGGTGGAAGCTATCGTCTCGTGGACGGGATGGTTCGCCGCCATCGGGCTTGTACATCTGCTCACGCAGCTGTGCAGAGACCGCATCGACTACGTAAGTCCGACGTGTTTTTTTGTCATTTTGTTATCATCAAATTGCGGCACTACGTATTAGCCAATTCAATAATTATTCGTTTTTGAAATTCGACAATTCTTCAATACCGTTTACAGAAATCTGTGCTTTTTGGTTACACATACAGTCGCTAATACAACAATGTTGTAAAGAGACCAATGATCAACTGATTAATAAGTGACGTTTTTCGTTACCACTTTAGGTCTTATATAGCAATCAATATATATTATAAATTTAGATATCTTTTGGGAGTCTGGGCAGCGTCCGTCGTTAACAGTCGTAATTCATCATGCTCTTATCCATGTTTTCTCCTGATCTTTTGACGTAGATTACATTCTCAGCGCAGCTGACGCGCGCGACTCACGCGCGCCTGACTCTGCTGCTTGTTGGTCTGTTGACATCATGCGGAGCGCTCCATGTGGCCGCTATTCGCGCGGCCCGCGTCCACCCCCAAAGTATCCACTACTTTCTGCTCTGCGATGCGGAGGTAATGCTCGCTAGCGTTGACGTCCTGTACATTGTTCTTAGGTGAGTGTCACAGAATCCGCTCAATTAACTTCGATGCTATTATACTGAATAAAGAGTCAGAAAGCAAATCGATGCGGAAAATTGATGCAGGAATCCGTGTGTATGAGTGAGGAAAATGCAGGCGGACACATAGAAACCCGGGTTGATTTCGAAAAGAAGTTCATGTGAGCAAAACCATTTTGACTGCCAAAAAAATTCGTGATGAATTACCTTGATGAAGTATAGCGGTCCTTCTCGGATATATACTATATGGTGTATAAAGACAGTTGGACATACAGTTAATGATACTACGATCAAGTATTGCGATCATTGTTATAATTATTGCCGCTATTGTTATAACCTATGGCCACTATCCGCTCGTAACGTTTTGCCCTTATTCTTTTATCCTGTGTCACCTCCGAACTCCGTTTTCACCGTTTTTCGTTTCGGTTGATGACTGAAACAATAACACTAGCGATGACGGTAATTGTGTTAAACTTTAGGAATTGCATGTTTAGCCAATTTAACACAGTTCCGTTCTGGATTTCTTGCGTCTAGCTAAGTTTTTTTTTTCGATCGTTGCTAAATGGCAATAACAGAATCGTGAGGGAATAGCTCAGCAGAGCTTGAATGAGGCTGGTTTTTGGTTTAATGTAACATACGGAAAGTGATCGGGTCCATTGATTTTTAAGCAGATGCCACGTTCAACAGCGCTATACGGTACGAACAGTTCTATTTTTAGGTAAGTTAAGCTCGTGCGGTTGAACAACGGGGACCGAGTCGAAAAATTTATCGTTTACATACTTGCTTAAGTGGAATGTATGCGATATTCACTTCATTCAGCTAGCAACAATTTTTGTTACCTGCTCAGCAGTCGACTCGGCTTGCTATTAATAGAAAAACTATACAACTCTTAGTATTATTCTAACTGTATTGTGGGTCTATCATTTGTGCTCCGATAATCCGTAACCCCAAGCGCATGGGCTGGGTCGTTCAATATATTTTTGTCCCGCCAATAACATTCAATTCCAGCTTATAGCAACATATGATTACATAGTATTATCGACTTTTTCGTTCGGGTTTGCCAGCTTCGCTTGTCATAATTAGGTTGGGTCTGCCGTGTGACACGTGTCCAATATATATATGGCTTAAGCTGGCCACGCGTAGAATGCCATATATACATCGGACCAGCGGGTACGATTCAGTGTGCTGTAGGCATTTGATTGGGTTCTCCATCCAACAGGAGCAGTATGAACGTGTTTAGGGAGCAAAAGCTTTGGTTGGCAGATTTTTCTCAAGGTCAAACAGTTCACATGCTTTTGTAATGTGTTCATTGTCAATTAAATATAAACAAAAAAACAAATTAATTAAACTAACTTTTTGAACGAAACACCAAATCCGTTACGCTTTGCTCGCTAATCCATTAGTGCTACGTTTTACCATGTATCGCACATTGCACACGAAGTAGGCCAAGCCATCGAACACATTCACAGAAGGATAACGGCCACTTTCGCAATTGAAAAAAATTGTTTTACTGATCCCAGAAATAGTTGACTTTACCACGGGTGCTGTTTTCGTCTTATATGGTATGGGATGATGTGTTTCTCTAGACTTTTATTTAACTAGCTTTACCTCGTCGTCGAGTGAATATAGGCCGATGTAGTGTTTGTACCGTAAGCTAAATACGATTTTTCTGGGAACCACAATACGAAAACGTCGACAATAAAAGGTCTCGCATACGATTAAGTGCATGTAAACAGTGAATGGTTACTACAGATTATGTATGTGTGGCGATGAGGTACAGAGACACAGAATATCTGTTGGTTGATGTATGTGTGTATCAAAGTTATGTATTACATATTGCTCTGATGTTAAGAATAAGCCCAACGGTGCTAAAACGTCTTGCGCAACTGTACTTGTTGATTTTCAAGTTAAATGTTCCTTCATTTAAGTGAACAATTTGATCACAAACACAAGGTGATATTTTACTTTGTATGTTTTTTCGGATCACAATTACCGATGACTATCTTTATAAAAATGTAAGTTACTAAACACGAATTATCTTGAAGTGACTATTATTCGGTTGTGTTATTTTCCTGAGATTTAATTTAATTAAATCAGTCCTTACGGTGTTCTGGGATTCCAAGAAGAGAGCATTCATTTTATTCGTTTCGCCCTGGCAGCTTTACAGAACTTCACAGGACTAGTTCTACTTTGGGATGAACTATAAACCCAAAAAGGTAGATCTTCATTTGAAGGTAGTTATAGTTTAGACATGATTATAATAAGCGTTATACGCCAGTAGATAGCAAATAAGTGCCTAAAACTCGTTCGTCCGTTAACTATAATAAAAAGAATAAATTCTACTTTGCAATGATGCTTTCCAGGTACTCAGTGCACCAATGGGACGTTTACAACGATCGAGGATGGGACAATCGGGCCGAGTTTGCATACTTCTCAGAGCTCCTGTTTCAGCTTGCCTCCTTAGCCATTGATTTTGCCCACGACCTACATATGTTGGTGCGTAAAGAAATCGCCTGAAGCGTTAACCCTAAACTTTTTGACTGTAATACATTTCCGTACCTGGTACTGCGATTAAGCATTGCTTCAGATGGCTGGCTCACAGCGATAAACGAAACATTGAATTTTGATCGAAAGAGAAACCTTGAAAAAACGTCTTTTGAATTTTTGTGAATATTATATTTTTACATTATTATATAGTTAAAAATTGTAAAATGTTAATATATATGAATTTGCTGTTGATTCTTAGGGCGGCGAGAAGCTTGTTCCATTGCTTAGCGAGGTGCCGTAACACCCGAGATTCGCACTAGGGGAAGAGAAACCATGCACAAAATAATCACTAACGATAGTAGTAAATTTATTAACGGGTCAACTATGTATTTTCAGATATTCGGCAACATCTTGGTGTCGATGGCATCGGTGGCAATCTCGATGCGTCTCCACGCAACGTTCACAGAGCTCAAAAAGCGTCTCCATAAACACCGACATTTCGCCCGTATTTCAATGCGCTTGGCTGAACTGTATCCGTCTGCAACATCCGAGCAACTCGTCGATCCTTGTGCTATTTGCTGGGAGAGCATGCTTACTGCAAGGCTCCTACCATGTTCTCACATCTTCCACGAGTAAGCACGAACTCCCCGTCTGCAATTAAAGTTTGCATCGTTTAATTGTAAAGTGTTGTCTTTTGCATATCTTTTTTTTTTTTTTGGAGGTTAAAGGCAAATGCATTATGCAGACCGGGCATAGGCAGGGCAAGTCTGCTTTAAGTCCGGTACTGTGGGACTCTCACCCACTAAACCCTGGACCCCTTTATCCGCTTGGGCCATGGCTCGGTATATTTTTGATATCACTTCGAAACCATGGCTTGCAGGAACGGTCATTTCATCTTCCTTCTCTTTGAGCCGTTCCAGTCCATCCTCCATTTTGGCCTTCCTCTTGAACATTTTCTCTAGCTCTCGAGGGAGGCCGTGCACTCTGTAATACCTCTGGATGCGATTGTTGCGCGTTAGGCCCACGATTGTTTCGAGTGTGCCCTTCCACTATTCTCTTACGCCTCTTCCTTTCTAGTTGTTCTTTACTTTTTATCATTTCGTTGAAGAAGGCCGTGACCTTGGCCCAGTTCTTCCTATCCTTGAGCACCATGTTCACCATTTCCTTAGTACTGTTCTTTGTTCTTACATCTCTATGTATTTCTATGTCTTTTGCATATCTGCTACAAACCAAGCATCCGATATTTAACGAAGTTGTTGATAAAGTCAGCAGACCTAGAAATAAATGCACTTTCGAAATTGATGAAGTCTTCCTCCTAAAGATTTCTGGAAAGCTAACTGTATTTCAGCTTGATTAACATTAATACTGTCGGTTTTAACCCAAAGTGTCTTCGTAATTATACTAGGTACTAGCAAATTGTATAGTATTTGTAGTAAATCATAGACCGGCCTCAACCGACCGGGCCCTGACCCGCTTCAATCAGAAGGCTACTTGTTCAAATCACCGCGTCGACTCATATTAATATAAAAACTTTACGTTAAATATTTGCTCACGGATGGTATTGCCTAGACGATTCTAACGTCTTTTCAAGGCAACTGATGTTTATTGAACTTCCGTCAAAAAGTAGCTGTATCTTCAAAATTTTTTCAATCATGTATTTGTGGTCTCGCTTAACTTTTTTCAAGTTCGTGTTTACGATCATGGCTAGAGCAGGACACGACTTGTCCCACCTGTAGACTTCAACTGGATATCGATCCACTTTCACCGACGAAAGAAAACCTAATCCTGCCTCCTGCTGTACCAGTAACGAATGTTCTGACAGCAACTGCAGCTGCCCAATTGATAAACAACAATAACAATGTCCCTTTAAGTGTGGAGGGAGCAGCTGTGTTGGAGCGCGCGGTAACGACGTCTGCGCACGTATTTCACTTCAACGGGCCACGCTTCCTTAGCTGGCTGCCATCGGTGTCCGTCGAGGTGTCTCATTCGACTCTGCCACCGGAGGATCCAACTGCTATGGTATAACACATGACTTTTAACTTAATATTTTTTTTCTTTTTACGGCGTCCATTGATTTCACGTAAACTTTCATGCTAATTTTGTTCTGTACAGATCGCATGCATATGGGCATCAGTGTTTGATGTGACAAATATAACATGATTGACTACAATTTTGTTGGCCTTCAGGTGCTATAAAAGTCAACTCCCAGGAGTAATAACGGCTTCAAATATGTAAATTTTAATTTTCCTATGTACGATTTCCAGCTTCAGTTGTCAGTCGATGTCACTGACCCGAGCGACGAAGGAGATCTCAAGGATCAGCAGCAGACAAACACATCTTCTTCTGGAGATGTTTTCCGGCCAACGCCGGAAATGCCAGATGCCGAGGAGACTGAACAGGATTGGACTGAAGTGCTGCCAACACAAGATCTCATTGCTACGCCTATCCTAGGACAAAGGTGAACATATGGTTCTCGTTAGTAAATTTATTACAGAAAAATGTTCAAACATTGAGCAAAGGGTTTCATATTACTTGAGAAACGTGTATTTTAGTGTAATACAAGCGGCGCGCCGAGCTTTTTTTAACTATAATTATTGCGTACATGAGCAAAAATGACTCCAGAATTTTATAAACTGCGCGATTTTTTGTATAATCTCTAACTCACACATTGCTCAAGGCAAATTTGTAATCAGGAGTATCCGTTGTACGTGGGCTAGTACAGTCTTGCGAGAAAATTTTACTAGTTCTCTTCTATTATCCGCAAGACTGTATATGCACATATTTTCCGAGATACTCATACTATTCAGTTATGTCCTATCTAAATACTATTTCTCTAGCCTTGGCCTCTACATATGGCGCATTATAGTTTTCAACCAGACATATTATCCACGCAAACTTTTCTAACAACATAAAATTTTAGAAAGTAGTCACTTAAACTGAAAAATTAGAGTGTCTGTACGAGATCAAGCGCGTTAATCTTCTAAAATTATGTGTTGTTCCGCTCCCTTAAACAACGCCGCGCAACTTATTGTTTACTTAAGTTGCAATATAAAATAGTTTTTTTCCTGTCTTTCCTGCAGACGGAATCCATCAGGTGAGCCCGTCCAGTTGGCTTAGTAAAGGTATTCCATGCACAGCAAAAGTATAGTCATAACAACATGAAGTGATGGTCAAAATCCACCCAGCTCAAATGTCCGAGTTCCTTATGCCTCAAATCCCTGTTGCCGACCGCGTACAAGAAAGGAACTTGAAAAAGCTTTGTCCCATCAGGCAGCCGAACACCTATAAATTGGTCTAGCGAGTTCAACGAGCAAGATGCGAATTTGACGTTAGTGTAACGTTGAATATCAAAACTAAGCGTGATAAGAGAAGAATTAAGATTGCGCTCGAGTTCGGTCCCCCGACCATAACTCGAAAGCGAAACCGAATTGTGAAAAGATCATCTATGAGGTTTGACAGAACGTCGTCGTTATAATATGGTAAAAAAAAAGAAATTAGTTAAAAATGTATGTATTGTGTTCGACAAGAACCAAGACATTTTTCAACAACTAACTGTATTTGGCAACACTTCCTGCCTCATCGAACCCAGTACTAGCGTGTAGCACCCCTCATCCAATCGTCACTTTAAGATTCTGCATTGGCAAGTACCGACACACGCTTAGACAAAAATTCTATTCTTAAGAAAGCATTCTCAATATGTAAACGCATGATAATGGTGCACTCTAATTAGGTAAACAAACTAATTAATGGAATCACAATTACACAAAGATCATAGCTTGTTTCCTAACATTTTTGCTTGTGTAACAATGAAGAAATTGTTAGGTACGACTGACCAAATGGGTTTTACGCAGGAGACACAACATATTAAAAGGACTCCACTATTTATACTATAGTATATAATGGAGTGCATATCTTGCAAACTGATGCCTTTTGCTAGGTTCTAACCACCTGGAATCCACTGTCGTACCCTAGTTGAGTGTAGCTAGGTGCGACTGTTTCCATTACTCCAAGACGTTAACCCTCCAGTATCTGTAACGTAGAACAAGTGAACGCGATTGCAAACATGTGGAAACATGTTATTATTACTAAGTCCCTAAAACTTCGATGATGGAAGAGATCCGCTTTCTCTCGGCCCAGCACGAATTGCAAACGGGTCCAGCTTTCCTGACCACTTTCTCACTTCCGTTTGGTTATTATTACCGGTGTATACAGGCTATAATAAAGCCATTTTATTGTGATAATACAGTGAAGGTTAGAGTATAAATTGGCGATGGTTTTCTATTCCATTGCTGACAATGTATATATGGATGAACTAAAACTGTATATATGGCGATTGCATAGCAAAAAAACGATGCGTTCATTAAATAAATATAATTTAACGAGAATGCTTTAAAGGTAAAAAAAATGTGTTTTATTTGCCTTTTTTCGTTAGAGCGGCTGCTTTTGGAGCATTTCTTCGAGTAAATGACGGAAAAACGTCTTATTTCGTAATAGATATTAAATACTGCATAATAGATATTAAATACTGCACATTTGGTAAGCCGTCTGCTTCGCGCTCTATTTCAAGTAGCCGGAGCCTCTACCTATGGAGCTATCATCACCCTCTTTCGTTCGAGCTTCGGCGTGTAACGTATCTCATACATTAAGCACAACTTGTCATAAATGGGTGAAGATTGGAAGTTTGGCTTAGGTTAGTATTAGTTCATAATGGTTAATGCTTCGAATATTTGCTCGAATTAAAAAGCTGCACAGGCTGTGTGGAATACCGGTTCACTCTATGCTGTAGAATCCATGTACGAAAAGAGGACGGTTCGAAAGAAGCTTGCCAAATTCAGTAATCGTATTTGGGAACTAAAGGATACACTGCCCCTAAGTCCGCCTTCTTTTGAGCCGCTGAGGGCGATTTAAAGGATCGTGAATCGACTGATGTGATGAAGTCTAGCCAAACTATTTACAGGCACATTGAATTTATAAGATTTGCAAAAAAACTTTAGATGCGCCATGAAGAGAACGAAAAACACCGGAAAACATTGTTGCTCAAAATCGCACCCGACAGAGGACGACACGCAGCTACAAAGACGGATTTCTACAAACAATCGTACCGGCTAGCAAATCTTTACGTCAATGTGAAATAGAGAAAGAAACTGAAAGCTCTAAAAAGCTTAGGGTCTTCTTCGTAAAAAGACATCTTCATCCTAAAACGACTCTGACTTACGTTTGGTAAGACGAGTAGTTCAGACTAAAAAATCCTAGATAAGGCACATATGATTTGTGATGCTATTGACTCCGAAAAAGCCTCACAAAGGCACTTTCTCCAAGACAGTGCCAAACGGCGCCTGGAAACTGCCCTGGAAAAACTTAGGTAGGTAGTTATCTTATATCAACTATATATCCAGAGCTCGCACAAAAATATAACCAGCTTTTCCGATTAATGGCAAATTAAATTCATAAATAAACGTTTGATAGAGTATAAAATTTCAAAGCTTGCTTGGACGGGTTCTTCAAAACCCCAATTTTGGACAACTAGGTAAGGCGGAATAAATTTGTTGAGAAATAGGAGAAGGGCGTGACAGCGGATACATATAATCTGTTGCCATAATTCAAGCAAAATGCTGCATTTTTTGTTTAGAAAGCTGCCGTTACTTATGTTCCAAGCTAGCACTGTAGGGACGGATGGCTCATTTACATTGTCTTAGTCATAGAACGTGCTTTGAAAGATAGAAAAAAACTCTTTCCGCGCATAATTGTATCCGCCTTCGCATAAAACGCCGATCCTTCCTGAACAGTGCTTCACACAAAGCCAAACAACACTCGGGATACGTCATTGCCGCTAGCTGGGTCGTTTTATAACAAAATGATATGAATGGGATATTTAAAATCGCAATAAGCCAAACGAAAAAAAGCAAGGGATTTTGAATCAAGTTATGATAGACTCCAGGGAAGTTCTAGGGCTTTAGGAGAAGCTTTGGTCTCGGTTAAAAAAATATAAGTAATTGTCTTTACATTTAGGTACACTATATAATTACACAAAAGTGTTTTTCTAATATCTAAATTTCTGATTGTTGAATTTTTTTAAGTTGACATGAGTTGAGTATGACATATATATATATATGTCATAATAAGCGTTTAGGTATACAATGCACTCCGTGTTCAAAACACCTGAACGTACCCAAAACGAACAATCGTTATTTGATTGTACTGCTTTTCTATTACGCATTTGAAGTAAATGGAAAGATACTCGCGCGATCTTTACCTATACTTAGGTCATTGTCATAGTTTCTATTTTATGGTATAATCTCGGAGACATGTTCAGTATAGTCCCTTGAAAAATTCTGAACTTTTTCATTTAACTTGTATCTTTCTTATATATATATATATATATATATATATATATATATATATGTGTGTGTGTAACAGAGGAACAGACCTATGAGGCAAAAGACTTACAGTATAATGGAAAGATTTCATCAGACTGCATGAAGCTTCGCTTAATACGTACACTTACATGTAGAAGTTCTGCTTTGCAACGCAGTCGCGCAATATCGTCGTATAGTTTTCTCTATGCAGGAAGTGAAAATGTACATTTAGAATTATACAATTGCACTAAATTTAAGTGCAGATTTAAATATTTACCATAAAGATAAATGTTGATTATTAAAAACCCGATGGAAAGTGCAATTTATTGAAATCAATCTAAGTACGCATAACCAGTGGAATGTTGACGACAAAACAGATATCTTTTTAATACATAATTATATATTATGTAGATTAATAAACTCAGTCGTATTATTTATACACCGCAAAATATCCTGCAGCACCATGAGGCTTGCTTATATATAACGCATGACAGATCTCGCTACTAGCTATTAAAATACGACTCTTTTTATTTTTTCGTTATAACGTGTCATTATTGTATGTTTTATTCTAATTAATAGCATATCTTCTAAACAGTTGCTTAATGCTCTCTGAAATAAAGGTGAGACACTGGTTACTCTCTCCTGTAGTTTAGTATCGGATGGATTCTTTTACGTTCAGTTTGCACATTATAGAAATAGCTACAGTTCCTTCACAGTCTAAAACCAACTTACGTTTTTTTAAAGGATCGAAAAAAGGAACAAAAAAACTATAGTTGACCTATGTGGAAATTCCAAATTGTTTTACTCAAAATTTCTTATTGCATCCGCTTTATTACTATTTAAACGTTGATTCTTATTATATTAATATAGTATTTAATGAAATTCGGTCTCTGCAAGTAAATGTATACATGCGAACCAAAACTCTCAGCGGTAATTTCTACTGTTCCCTAGAAAACAATTAAAAAAAAGTCTGTCTTCCTTACGCTGACAGAGACAAACCTAAAAGAGCCCTAATCCACAATTAACTAGCCACCTGGAAATATACATTAATAAACTTCACACGTACCCAAAAAATTGCTAATACACCTATTCTTTGTGCCTACAGTAATTCTACAAGGCAGAAAAAAACTACCTATATCTAGAAATTATAGCAGTGGGCGGAAACATAAACGTAGTCTATGTACTTCAGGTGGGCAATATAAAGGTTCCGACCCTTCGGCTCGGGTTTGGTAAATTCAGTCTATCATTAAGTGGAGATCGTCGAGTTCATTTGAGAGCCGACACCACTTGTTGGTATTTAACGTCTTCTAAAGATAATTATCAAGATCTGTTTCTCTTCAATTCAAGAATTTACCTATACGTTCTCAGATATGTCAAACAGCAGCTCTTTCTAGTAATTTTGAACAAACGAATGGCCCTATAGCATTTCTCGGCAAAGCGCCCGCTGCTAGAGATTGCATGCATTCATTATACTCGCGCTGACTCCGCCTAATTGTTTGGTAAAATTTAATGTTTTTTTTTTTAATTTAATTTAATGCTTAATTAACCACTTTAGGCATTAAGGTTCTCCAGAGGACACCAAAAGTCTCTCTAGCCATTTATTTATTTTGGATCTTAATGAATACTTTCGATGAGTAGGCCTTTAACGTAAACGCATGTACATTTTTCGCTGCTGGATTGTTAACTAGAGCCATAGGAGCTTCGCGACAGACCACTTACTCAACGGGTGGTCGAAATAGCGCTCTCATTTTCAGATGTTTATTAACCGAATATAGAGCTTTTCATTGTACTCCTTTTTACTCGTATATTATTTATATACGCAGTTCGATGTCATACTGTTTTTAAATGTGTATGTATCAAGATACTATTAATTTATACCGTTGTATGGCGCTGTGGCAGACTGACTGATTGGAGCATTCATAACACAAGTAATATAGACGTACAATAGTTTAATCCAGATATTCTGAGCATTTAATGTGAAAATTTTGCTTGCCGATAATATGTCTAATTTCCGCCTTCATATGGTTGAGTAAAACAATATTTTCCTACTGGGGCTCCCCAAAGGCTACTGCACACCTCTCAACACGAAGCTAAATAACCGAAAGGGTAAGCAAGGATAATATAATGCTTAAACAGTATATTGTTTATGCACTACATTGTAATTTACCACGTGAGTATATGATGTCTGATAATACTCGAATTAAAAACAAAACATTATAAGCCATTGTCGTAGAAGCAAAGCTTATACTATTCTCCGAAGATGCTTACATCTGCAAAGTGTCCCTGTTTTGTGCTGAATCTCAATAAAATTTGTGTGAATTTTACTCTGACCCACAACAAACACATTTGAACTACGCACAAGTCAATACTCAGCTGACCCGAGTTAGAAGCTGCGCTCTGTAGTCAAGCTGAACATATTATTTTACCACGCTGTTATTATTCTCCAGTGGTCAAGAACGCTACTTGGAATCACACAATATGAATTTATATTCGTACAAGCTCTAATTGCTTAGTAAAGTTAATTTTCTAGTAGCCAAAAGTGAAGAACTTTTGGTTAGCTCAGTGAACGAAAACTGCCGTAGTATTCGAAATATTCGTGCCGCGTAGTATTCGAAATGGCGTAAATGATAGGGTCAAGTCTAATTCGTACTGACTGTTGTCATCACAACGCACAGTCTGACACAAATGCGGACGCACTCAGGTACTTAGAAGCGCGCACACAAATCGACCCACACCTGGCCATATCCGTCCGTTCGACCGTACCATATTACGGGGCCCATTTATCCGTCGATCTGTCACTGTCGGCGTTCTGTGCGTGTCAGGTCGACAAGCACAGTCAAGTCACGAACAGTCAGTCATCGGCAATCCAAAAGGTTTGGTGGATGCAAGTTAACGCCGTTATTGACGACAAAGACTGAACTGCAGCGGTAGAAAGTCAAGATCAACAAATGCCGAGATTCGACTTCGTCGCTACTGCTGTTGTTTCTGCTGTCGCTAACTCCGACCCTGACGCTCATCGACGAATGAGCTAAGCGATGGAGTAGTCGCCAGCCCGCGCTATATCTGAAGGTCGGAACGTCACTCTGGGCAACTTGATATGGTTCGATTTATCATAGTCTTCAATAAAGGAGCAGGAAAATTAGTTTCATTCTGCGCAAACTCGGCGCCAGGGGACTTATACTGAGTGAAGAATCATAGCAACGTTTGTGTTACACTTATGTGTTGATATGGCTAGTTTTAATACTGCTGTGCTGAGGCTGCTGCTATTGTTACATAGAGCTGTTGTCGAGGCGCAGGATCGTCAGCCCACACATACACAACTATAGGCACGGTCTCAACACGACCAGGGGGTTCGTTACTGTACACATTCAGCTCAAACAAATAGTAGGCATTAGGTACATGATGGCGTCACCGCGTCGCAGCTCAACAACAGATGAAGCAGCCGCAGTTCAAGATCACTTTTCATGATGACGTCGCTACTAGAGCAGGAGGCAGCAGCAACTACATCGATGGAGAAGAGAAAAAAAACCTCTTTGCCGGCCACTTCGTCCACTGCAGAAATTCTACTATTGGCGTCAAATAAAGGTAAACTCCAGCATTCCACTACCGAAATAGCCACCGGTCCCGCCGTGCTATATAGTCACTATAATCATGAATAGGATAGAGTCTATATTGTGGTCATTGTATCACGACCACCTTGCCGTCGACTACGATCACGAACCGCAATGATCATGATAAGTGAGTGCTCACGAGTGCAATAGCTGAACGCATTCGCGATTCGATGCTTTACGAATGGTATTCGTACCAGCAGTTGGAGCAGTGAGTGAAAGAGTTAAGTGCTCCAATGCTTTGGAAGGCTGACATGACAGCAGCGGCAAGTATGGCGTTCTGGTAGTTTCCGTTAAGAGCGCGAAATACCGCACGCTGCAAAGCGTTGAAATGGCGCCGATATGACGCGCCGATGCCAAAAACGATCTTACCATTGTGACGGTCGGTGTTGCTGGGGGTATTGCACAATCATCAACGGTGGCAACAGCCGCAAATAATGCCACCGACAATGGCGACTTGTAGTAATGGCCAATGCTTCGGCAGAACAGCAAACAACGGTTAAAGTTGAAGCTGCTCCTTAGCTGCTGCCGATGGCAAAAAAGGCCCAGCGAACGGCTGTGCCAGCAAATCCTGATGGAGTCTGTCACCGTTGCTAGCGTCGCGTCGAGTCATCATCAAGTAAAAGAAAGCTCGCTACCAGGAAAAGACGCTACTCCAGCACTATTTTGCCGGCGTCACCATCATCCTCATCAACGGCAGTTCACACGGTGGCAGCAATATTAGGGGAGGACGTCTACAAGACGAATTCACACACAAAAATAGGTTGTAGACTATTGCAGTATCTCTGCAGCAGCAGCAGCATTCACCTGAGATTGAAGTTGGCAAAAGGCTCTCTTCAGTCTGCTAGCCCCAATGGCTTGTAGATACGGCGGAATCGTCTGTGTAATACATTGCTGTGTGTTATGCTGTGGATGCGTAGCCAGCGACTATCCTGCTGTAGCAGCACTGAGAAGAAAATCGAGGAGAGGAGGTCGCGGCAGAATCGCTTCTAACGCTGCAGCCACCGAAGCCAGCAAAGCCTGTAATAAACGAACCAATGACTACACACAGTTCCGCACTACTATTAGTATTCCCAAGAAGAGACAGCGGCAGCATGTCGACGGCTTTATTATACGTACGACGTCGACGCATTGCTGCTGCCCATCGGCCAGCACAAAGCGACGGACGACGAGAACCCAGAACTCTCGGAACGACAGCGACGCTGACGATACTGGCCAAGAGCCTCGGCGCTCCAGTGCTTCCCAGAAGAGCTGCTGGCGCTGCCGCTTTTGCTGCTAGTGATAGCTAAAGCAAATCGGAGCACGGCAGTTGTGTCTCATTGTGACATGTGGAAAGCGGGACCGATTTT